GCCTCCAAAGAAAAGTAAAAACGTTATTTACAAAGACAAACAGTAAAAACAATAAGTTTTATATGAATTTCTTATAAATCTATTACACAAATTACTGCTAAAATATTATTAAATAAGAAAACGAAATTATAAAAATAATTTTTTATAATTTACTGTACATGAAAATTTAAATACTGTATTACTTTAATAATGTCTTATTTTAAAAGCTTATAGATATTATTTTTTTTTAGTAAATGTTTCAGTATAAATAAAGTACGTATAATTAAAACATTTTTTGTAAATTTCCCCAAAATAAAATATTAATTGATACAAAATAATACAAAAATTATTGATGAAGTTTGTTAAATCGTCAACAAAATTATAAGAAATTGCTTGATAACATGAATTCTACTGAAACAATTATTTAAATTAACGCATTGCTTTACATATTATATATATATATATATATATATTAATATATACATTAAAAATTAATTTAATAATGAAAAACTAGCTATATTAGCAAAATTAATATTTTGTACATATTTTACTTTTAACTAATTGCATGTTTTCTGTGGGTTACGAAGTTTGATTACGATATCTTTGTAACAACTGTGACGTAGACAGTATACCTTTTGACGTCACTACTAACGTGCAGATTCTTTTAATTCTCTTATGTAAGCTGCTAATTACTTAACACTTCTCTAAGATTAATTAGTATTTAAATATGTTTACGGTAAAAAGTAATAAGCATATAATATATAATTAATGATATTTAGTAGATAACTATTTTTCTCATTAAGATTTTAAAATTTTGTAAAAACGTCATTCATCAATACCTTTTCAGATGTTCATATGATATTAATTTGGACATTAAAATGAACAGAAATATGTATCTGGACATATAAAGTTAACAAAACTTCTATAAAGCGATATTACTAATATTAAAATTTTCAAGTGTGTTAAATTAAGAGATTAAGAATCATCTTAATGGAAAAAAGCATTAAAATTTTTCTCATGTAGCTAATTATTACAACCAATTTTTAATAATAACGTAATTACTATTTTAAAGTTTATTCATATACTATACATATATATGTATAGTTACAATACAACTATTTAATATATAAATAATATATTATTAAAAGTAATAATAAGCTTATTATAAGAAAATATATACATGATATACTGTACAATAAGTCGATGTGATAAGGAAGAAAATTTTATCACCATTAATTCCTATTGTAGCAATAATATAATTAATAATTTTATTTAGTCATTATTGTTTGTCAGTTTAATATATATTTTTATTTTCCAAAAAGATCTTAATAGGTTTTTTCATTTTTAAATATTTATACGCAAATATTTTATGGTTACATTTATCATATTTTCCAAACTTTTATCTTCAAAAATCTCTTACAAGTAGATTCGATATGATCATTTGTATACTGAACTTGAAGAAGAATGCCTCTGACCCGATCCATTTTTTCACATATTAAAATATTTAAAATAGTGATCTAAAAATAACTTTTTCTTCTAGGAACATCATTCTTCATCTTTTTCAAGGCTAATGTATCGATGGGTTCATCAACACAACCTTGATTTTTATTCCAAGGACACTTCCTAATAAGCCATTGACTTGGAATGATATATAGGAACTACCCCTCCTGGGTCTTTAATTTAATTTTTTTTGTTTAAGGTCAAGACTACACCAGGTAGAGAAAGTGAACTTCTTCAAGGATATCCACCTTCAGTTATCCCTTAGTCATCCTTGCTATTTTAATAGCAACAATGTATTATACTCAAAAAATACTTCTATTTTTAGAAACTTTGTTTCAATAAACCTTCTTCAAACATTCTTATATTATGTTCAATTAATGACAAATTTATTCATTTACACTAAAGTTATGGAAGGCAAATATGCAACAATATAATTAATATCAATAAGAAATACTCTATACAAAAGTTGTTGCTAAATAATAATAATAAAAAAATTTTAGAGTACAATATTCGAGCTAAATTAACGATTTTCAATGAATAATTTTCGTAGTAAAAGAATACTAGGAATTAAAAAAATAGTTTTGACTTCTGTTGTAGTCGTAATATCCAAATTACAATCATAGTCTGAATGAAATGAAATTATCCCAGACCAACACACTCTTATCTGAAAGCCAAAAAATGTGAGTAAAATCAAGTAAAAAATTGATAAATCTGATGGTAAAGATACTTTAATTTACTGTATATCACTTTCTTAACATAATTTTTATAAAATAAAACTAAATTTTGGAGCTTCTTTGTATCTGAGATCAATGCCAAATGGCTCTGCTGGTCTTCTCTCTGGCTCGAATATAGCTATTATTCATTTTTTAATCCAACATCCATTACTAATGTAGTTAAATAAATTAATTTTTAATTCGTTTTATAATTATTCTTCTAATTCCAGATCTGTTAATTTTATTCATAAATTTTTAAAATGTTTTCTTCTTTTAATACTTTTTTGCTCACAAATGATGTCAATATAAATTATTCTAAATTTATTTACTTGTAAGTTATATATATTCAAAAAAAATAATACAAATTTCTTAAGAAAATATAAATTATATTTAAAAAAGAATAATTAGAAGAAGGAACATTTTGGTACAATCAGGTTTATTTTGCCATATTGATAACTATGATACGTGCAATGCAACACGATGCTGCATTGCACTTATCATAGTTACTACATAGTATTACTGTAGTTCAATTTTTGAAATTAAATACCATTCATAACATCGTCTTCATTTTTCAAATTTTGCTCAATGTACAGTATTTCTATATTTTTATTGCGTATATCATTTAATACGGTTGATTGAGTTTTTTATACGTTCAATTGGCGATGTCGCCAATAATCTCGGTCTTATCTTTTTCTTTAGATTAGATTTTTCTAGAATGATTAGTTTTTGAGTTGACTTCTAAACTGAAAAAACTAATTTTTTAACCTCGCAGTACATTATATATGCATTAACAGTAATTATTTTGTAAATTGACAAGAACAGTCGATGCTATCATTTTGAACGAAGCCATTTTTACAGATTTCTATATAAAAAAAAAAGAAAAAAACATGTCTTAATTGGACTGTTAAGTCCGCAAAAATTGACATTAGCTTCTGCAGTAAATAAGTCAGCTGAAAGAATATTTAACATTCTGACATTTGACTTATAAACTTACAAGTTAAATCAGAAAAACACCAATCAAAATAAAAATATCTTTATTTATGAAGAAAAGTTCCAACTAAAGTGTGAAGCGGGCAGCCATTTACATACTACCGAAATAAACTAAAACGGCAAAACTGTATTTGGGACAAGACTATGTCTCGGAGACTCACTACTAAGCGGAATCACTTTGACGCTCAAGGCGGGTCTCGTTCTCATTCTCCAATCTTCTTTGGTATCGTTGCTTTTGGGCGCGATCGTTCAAACATCGTGGACGACCTCGTGGTCGACCACGAGGTCGTCCACGATGCATTTTCGATGAAATTAACCTATCCAATTTCGAAATTTTTCTCCGTTACGTGTCGGACCGGGTTGAATTTTTGTCGATGCGTAACGAAAATTTCCCGTTTTTTAAAAATAATCGTGGCTATTGTATCGTCCGAAATTATTTTTTTATTTTGCACAAACAATATACAGTTTAACCCGATTATAATGTCATCGGATGTAACGACAACCCTAATATAACGTCAAATTTTTATCGGTCCCACGATTTTACTATACTAAATAATGTTAAAAAACCTACTTGTAACGACATCCTGTTTTAATGCCATATTTGAAGCATTCCCAAATTTACAAAATTAGATTACAAATTTTATTTAACATAGAAGAAACTACGTGTTCGGTCCGAAGGTCAGAGTTCACTTCTTAGAATGACTGTGGGTGGTACTCTCCTCCACCTGACTTCGGTGGGGTGAGGTGCCTGTTTGTAGAAGAGGGTCGCTATTTTGTATTTTATTTTGACTCGGTTCTCGGTCCCCTGACTACCTACGAGTCTGGATTTTTTATGCGCAAATGATTTGGGCACCTAATACTCTGCGCCAAATATCAACTCTCGACATGTACTGTACTCCTTCATACCTCTAAGCTGGTAACATAAACCGGCAGTACGATTTTATAAACAAGATATAGTCTTATTAAAAAATTTAAATATATATTTTTCTGTTATTATATTTAGAAAAAAATTAATTCAGACTAAAAAAATTACAACAAACAGAAATGCGAAAACATTCAGCTCTTTCGTTTTATGCCATGTGCTAAAAGTCGTTAGATGTTACACGAAATTCCGAGTTTCATTAGACAGATGCTGAAATATACACCCGTTTCAACACCTGCAGAAACAGAATTAGATTGAAAAACGAACAATAAAAAATATCTTTAAATATTTGAAAAACGAACAATAAAAAATAACTTTAAATATACAGCCTATTTAATTTAACTAATTAATTAATTTTAGCGTTTTTTTATATTCTTCTTAAACTATACAGACTTCGATTTCTTAATTTATAAACATAATTATGTTACGTTCTCTAAATATAAAATGTATACTACTAATTTTTTCTATTCTGTTTAACAATATAAATAAATTTTCAAATAGCGATATTGATTATCATTAAATATACCTTTAAAAATTTTGACAGAAATTATGTTTTTTGTTAAATGGGAAATATGCAAATTTATAATTATAAAAAGTAATAAATTCAAAAGTTGCCCAGGAGGCTTGAAATACAAAAAAATAGAGTTGAAAGTTTGACGACCTTATAAACCGCCTTTTGTTACCGTGGAAGAGTCATACAAAGAATCCACTCACTTCCAACATCTAGGCCAGTTAATAGAAAGTCAGGTGAGTAACTCGTCGACCTTGCACCTCCACGGAGTTCAAATTCTCCAATTACTAAACGTCACGACATAGTCCACGCCCTAATTCAAAGTCGACCCTGAAAATTTTGTATAAATATCCCATCGAGTTCCATCCGACCATCAGCTGATTGGAAACCGTCCGAGAAGCAAATCGTCCAACATGAACAAGTTGGTGAGTATATATTTTTCATTCTACAATCCTCGTCTCCATTCTTCCTCTCCTAATCATTTTTCTTTCCTCTATTTTAGTACATTGTCGCCTTTGTTGCCGCTTTCGTGGCCGTAGCTGCCGCAGTCGGAGGAGTAAAGGATTTAGTTGGAAACTACTACGATTTTACAACTGGACAATTGGCTAGTTCTACAACCGGCAGAGTCTACAACCCTCTCTACGCTTACGAAACTCATCTTCCATACGCACCATATTCTTATTATCCATCTTATACTTATTACACTCCCTCTACTTACTACCCTCCCTCTCCATATTATCCATATTACCGTAGGGCTTACTACTTTAAATAGGTAAGAAATTTACATTTCTCTTCAATTAAAACAGTTTTTTTTTATTGTTGCTAATATCGAAATTGTTCTTTGCAGATGAAAATGATGCCAAGATGTGTAGAATGCTCCTGAATTCGCCTTCAGTCTTCGCAGATTCTTCTGTCGAGTCTTTAATTTACGTTCGCTGTAAATAAATTATCACGTTTTCAATAAAAACTTTTTGTTCATCAAATATTTTGTGTTGTTTCCACGTTAGTATTTACGATTTTCCGCTTATATTAATAAAAATTTAAATCGTGGTCATTTAATATTTCAGAAAAATTGATTAAAGCATATCTTAAAAGCTGAAAACTTATAGAAAATAATATTTATTATAATTTAAATATTTTATCATTCCAAATATTTAAGGATTAACAGATACAAAAAGAAGGAAAAAAATTCGCCGAATTGAAAATACAGTATATAAAATTATTCCAATATTATATATAAAATTGCGACTTTTTTATTTCATTAAAATTTAGTATAAAAATAGTCAAGTTATATAAAAATTTATTTAATTTAGTAATTTTTATTTTCTATCAACGCCTTGACATACTACAAACTTGCATTCACTGCTGTACTGCAGAGAAAACAACTGCAAACGTCTAATGAATATATCACAATATTTGAAACAATGTTTAATAAATTTTTGTTAATATTCAGTTAAAACTATATTATAAAATAATTTAATACGAATTTTTATACTGATATAAAAACTTATTTTACAATTAATCGACACTATTACTTTTTTAATTTCAACTCTTTCTGTTCTGCGGGTACAAAGATAATTTTTTCATAGGTTGGGTCAGACCTTGATTGTAAGTAGCCCGGTGGTAAAAGGAGGGATCAGACATATCAGAGTTAAGCAATCTCTGAAACATTCTGAGCCGGGATTAAAAACACGCCATCACAGTCGATTTAAAGTTGTGTTCTTGCAGCGCAACATACCGGTACAAAAGACCCTTTTACCAACACCAAATAATAATAAGCAATATGTATAAATTGTTTTTGAGACTAGAACGAGGTGCCTCGTAACGTAAGACTCTAAGCTTTAGATTTAGTTTCCAGGCAAATTTCTTTCTTTACTCGCCATTACCTGACGTTGTTAAAATAATTAACAAATATAATAAAAAAAAGTGCAATATATTCTAGTATAATGCAACTTTATCTTAAACATATAATAATAAATATTAAAAAATAAAGCAATTCATTATTCCTTATAAAATATATTGATGTATCCATCATCTTAACAGTTTATAAATCCACAACCTTAAACGTTTTAAAACCTGAAAAACGTTCAAATTTTTGTTTGTTTGATATAGAATTTTTAACACTATAATTTCTTTCACAAGTACAGTACAATAATAATAATAATAATATATAAATAAAGTGAGAATTTTAAATATATAGAGCACTAAATATGAAAATTTATATATTAAAACAAGTAGTTTTAAATCATATTGTATCGAACATTGTTGAAATAAAGTTAAATTTTTTCTAAGTAATATAAAATAGTAAAAAGATTAGATTTATTTTAGGCCTGTGACGTCGGCGTTACCAGCGACGTCAGCGTTACCAGTNTTTTCGATGAAATTAACCTATCCAATTTCGAAATTTTTCTCCGTTACGTGTCGGACCGGGTTGAATTTTTGTCGATGCGTAACGAAAATTTCTCGTTTTTGAAAAATAATCGTGGCTATTGTATCGTCCGAAATTATTTTTTATTTTGCACAAACAATATACAGTTTAACCCGATTTTAATGTAATCGGATGTAACGACAACCCTAATATAACGTCAAATTTTTATCGGTCCCACGATTTTACTATACTAGATAATGTTAAAAAACCTACTTGTAACGACATCCTGTTTTAATGTCATATTTGAAGCACTCCCAAATTTACAAAATTAGATTACAAATTTTATTTAACATAGAAGAAACTACGTGTTCGGTCCGAAGGTCAGAGTTCACTTCTTAGAATGACTGTGGGTGGTACTCTCCTCCACCTGACTTCGGTGGGGTGAGGTGCCTGTTTGTAGAAGAGGGTCGCTATTTTGTATTTTATTTTGACTCGGTTCTCGGTCCCCTGACTACCTACGAGTCTGGATTTTTTATGCGCAAATGATTTGGGCACCTAATACTCTGCGCCAAATATCAACTCTCGACATGTACTGTACTCCTTCATACCTCTAAGCTGGTAACATAAACCGGCAGTACGATTTTATAAACAAGATATAGTCTTATTAAAAAATTTAAATATATATTTTTCTGTTATTATATTTAGAAAAAAATTAATTCNAAAATGAAATTGCAAGTACTTTAAAAATTATCTTTACCTTCGTTAAAATGGACGAAATACAACAATGTATTTGAATACTTGCAAAAATTCCCCAATAATCAATAAATGTTTTATAATTGCATTGCAATCACACAAGCAAACCGCAGACTTGTAAAATGTTTATTTTCAGGGTATAGAAATATGTTCTAAGCAATATGCATTTAGGGATTTTTTTATTCTCTTATTTCCCTTTAAAATTACATTTAAACGTTCTCAAAGAACGGATGACAATTTTTGTTATGGTTTTCGTCTGTAAAACTTTTCTTTATAATATTAGTACATTAGAATGTATAAAGATTGATTCAAGAATGAAATAATACATTTGATGCTAAAGAATTAAAATAAATAGTCATTTACTTAATCTGAAAATTTTATTAAATTTAAATTCATTTTGTAATTCTTTAAATACACCTAACACCATTATACAATTATTAAAAATTTTGAGAAAAATCCACTTTTTATTACTAGTTAAAAATAAATTATACAGGGTGTATACAAAGTCTGGGTACATAAGGATTAACACATACTTTTAAAACAAAATAATTTTATTTGATTCTAATATTAATAAATAACATTTTCAATATGATTTCTATCATTTTCAATACAAAATTCAAAATTCAGGTGAACTCGATTAAATACGTCTGTATTGCTGTCGATTTCACCACACTGACTGCTAATGGTGTACACAAATTATGGCACATCAAATTATGTATTAAAAATGTTATTTATTAATTAATGTTAGAATCAAATAAAATTATTTTGTTTTAAAAGTATGTGTTAATCCTTATGTACCCAATCTTTGTGGACACCCTGTATATTTTAGCTCAGAAATTTTATATTAGAATGCTACATTTTGTCTAAGCATCATATTCTTCTTGAAATTTAATAAATTTCACAATTAATTTACAAGGGCATCAAACTTAGAAAAAGAGAGTTGAAAGTTTGGCGACCTTGCAAGGTCCTTAAACTTTCATTTGTTTTTTATAAGTTAAATTCTTTGTTAACTGTAGAAGAGTGGTACAAAGAATCCACTCACTTCCAACATCTAGGCCAGTTAATAGAAAGTCAGGTGAGTAACTCGTCGACCTTGCACCTCCACGGAGTTCAAACTCTCCAATTACTAAACGTCACGACATAGTCCACGCCCTAATTCAAAGTCGACCCTGAAAATTTTGTATAAATATCCCATCGAGTTCCATCCGACCATCAGCTGATTGGAAACCGTCCGAGAAGCAAATCGTCCAACATGAACAAGTTGGTGAGTATATATTTTTCATTCTACAATCCTCGTCTCCATTCTTCCTCTCCTAATCATTTTTCTTTCCTCTATTTTAGTACATTGTCGCCTTTGTTGCCGCTTTCGTGGCCGTAGCTGCCGCAGTCGGAGGAGTAAAGGATTTAGTTGGAAACTACTACGATTTTACAACTGGACAATTGGCTAGTTCTACAACCGGCAGAGTCTACAACCCTCTCTACGCTTACGAAACTCATCTTCCATACGCACCATATTCTTATTATCCATCTTATACTTATTACACTCCCTCTACTTACTACCCTCCCTCTCCATATTATCCATATTACCGTAGGGCTTACTACTTTAAATAGGTAAGAAATTTACATTTCTCTTCAATTAAAACAGTTTTTTTTTATTGTTGCTAATATCGAAATTGTTCTTTGCAGATGAAAATGATGCCAAGATGTGTAGAATGCTCCTGAATTCGCCTTCAGTCTTCGCAGATTCTTCTGTCGAGTCTTTAATTTACGTTCGCTGTAAATAAATTATCACGTTTTCAATAAAAACTTTTTGTTCATCAAATATTTTGTGTTGTTTCCACGTTAGTATTTACGATTTTCCGCTTATATTAATAAAAATTTAAATCGTGGTCATTTAATATTTCAGAAAAATTGATTAAAGCATATCTTAAAAGCTGAAAACTTATAGAAAATAATATTTATTATAATTTAAATATTTTATCATTCCAAATATTTATAGATTNCATCTTATACTTATTACACTCCCTCTACTTACTACCCTCCCTCTCCATATTATCCATATTACCGTAGGGCTTACTACTTTAAATAGGTAAGAAATTTACGTGTCTCTTCAATTAAAACAGTTTTTTTTATTGTTGCTAATATCTAAATTGCTCTTTGCAGATGAAAATGATGCCGAGATGTGTAGAATGCTCCTGAATTCGCCTTCAGTCTTCGTTGATTCTTCTGTCGAGTCTTTAATTTACGTTCGCTGTAAATAAATTTTTGTTTTTAATAAAGTCTTTCATCATCAAATATTTTGTCGTCACTTCATTTTTCAAGTTTTAACAGTCATTAGCAAGTCCTTTTCGCTTTTGTAAAATAATAAAAGGGATTAAGTAATTTATTTAAGTCTCACAACAATTGCGGAAACTTGAAAATTTCGGAATTTACGCATAAAAAAGAAATAAGTGGGAATAGAAAAGTAAAACGATAGAAAGGAAACCAAGTCGCAAATTCGGAATATATTAAAAACTAAGATGTTAAAAGATAAATTTAAAATTAGTTTTAGTCATTCTTTATATTTTAAATAAATATAAGAAAGAAAAACTTTTTTATATAAATTTATTGAAGTAAATATTTAGTTAAAAAATTTTCCCACGGCATCAACCCCTAACGTGCCACAAACCAGCAAAGTTTTGATGTATTGTAAAGTAAAAAAACAAAACTTAGTACCGTATTCATTCGTATAAGACAGTGTTTCTCAACCTCTAACGAATCGATAAAACCGTTACGTAGTATCGCCCCCTTCACTTCAAAATTCCGATGCCCAGGGCCAACGCTAACGCCAAATTCGTACTGCATTGTATAGATTAGTGACTAGTATAATGTTATTTGTTTAATTATTGTACGATATAACGAATAAAATATTTAATTATTCTTAATATAATGTTTTACTATATCGCCCAGTCTTTCGCCCCCCAAAATATAAATTGTTACTAATCGCCCCTCAACATGGAAAAACGCCCACATGGGGGCGATATCGCCCCTGTTGAGAAACACTGCGATAGAAGAAACGACCATAATGAAGAAGAAAAATAAATCTTAATTTCTAAGCATTCTTGAATAAATATTACTCTGTGTGATACGCTCATAGAAGAAATTAATCTCACTTTTCTATTAGGCATATCTTTGCTATCATGAAACTTAATACTTAATTGTCAAAGAATATTTTTTTTTGTCTTTTATTTGTAATCTACAGAGAAAACATTACTGTATTTAATGTATATAAAAAATTCAATAAAAATATTTAGCAATGCCCATTTTTTTCTTTAATAATACTCTCAAAAGCTTATGACTCTGAATCGTATCGACATCGCTATTGGTTTATTATAATTGACGATGGATTAATCGAAGATGGCGCTTAAAATTTACAACAAATACCAGTTTTTCTCAAAAAATGGTATCAGATTATTACGTAATTTTACTATCGTTATTATCTGTACTGAAATTTTAACTGTTTTAAAGAATTCGGATATTTTCGGCTACGCATTTTAATACGGCAGTGACGTCAAAAGTTAACAGAAAACAAGTTCGCCATTCATCTGACGTCATCGCTAGAAGATAGGCGAAACATTTTTTTATTTTATTGAATATTTTTCATAAATTTCGTCACGTCTTAATTAATTATATAATATATTTTCGGAGAATTTATAAAAGATTTATAAATATTGTCATGTCTCACAAGACATGACCAAACGTGACCGAAATTATAATTTTTATACTGCCATCTTTTATTGAATGAGTTTATTAATTCCAACTAATATATTAACATATAAAGCCAATAAATTGCACACAATTTTCTGTTAATTATAATTTAAAGTCTTTTTAATTTTTAATTATTGTTTAAGGCTTCGTTATTATTATTATGGTGTGTGTGGACTGCATGCTACACAGTTAATACCGGTGCTATATGGTATCAAAACTGTTACTGAGATTAAGAATTTCCCGCCTTATGACGTGCTTAGTACGGCTGCTTTTTGTAGTGTGATGTATGCGCTGCTATGGTCTAATGCTTCAAAACTTATATGGTGTATGCGGTATGACACCTGTGCAAAAAAAGGACTATTGGCACATTAAGTACCTTTACCATTCTCCGCAGGCGCTTTATTTCGTGGGTGAAATCGGGCATTCGCTAATTTTTTTCAGTATTTTGTTTGTTGTGGGTGTTTAAAATAGCCATATCTATACCGTATTTAATTTTGTTTTGTCCGACTATTATTTGTCCTATGAGCGTATCACGTAACTTATTCGCACAGTAATTACCATCAACATATTTTAACTCTATAACAGATAATTTATTTTTTAAAAAATAACTAATGTAACGACATTCTAAGCACCACATCATCGAAACTACCTGACAGAAAAACAAATTTTTTTAAAGACAGCTGTTTTAAAAATTGGACAACAGATGGCGAAATGTCAGCATGCGTGATGTTTCGCTATTATTCAAATTTTAATTCTTAAATACACATAGCGACATCTATTACAAAAATATGCAACTACTGTATACCACTTAATGAAAACAAAAACAGCCGATAATTAATAATTATTTTGGTGGTTTTTTTCCCAAGTTAAAAATTCTTTAAAGTTGAATATAGATGAATCATAATTTTTCAAATGATTAAGATACATCCACAACATTCGTTGCGATCACTCATTCGAGACAATTCTGATGACGAAATTCAAAACCTTAGAAAATAACAGGAAATGAAAATTTATAGTTAATAGTTTTTACAAGGAAAAAAAAATAATATCCGATTATTTTCAATTATTTTTAGACTTATATTAACGTCCTATTGATAAATGTCAAATACGTCATAGAGCTTATTTCTATTCAAAAATACGTCACGTTTCTTCGTACCTTTTTTTGATTTGCGGTTAAATTGCTTTAAATTTCCCTATCAATTTAAGTTTCTAGAAATTCCAAATAAGATAAAACCTTTTATTAATCTTTCTCTACAAAGAAACCCGCACTGAACAATTAAGTTACATGTAAATTATAAAAATAAAAGAATTTTGTCCTCCTTTAAAATGACTTAAAATAATGTTCCGATTAATAATTTGAATGAAAATGATATAAAATAATCAGCAATTGTTTTATTTCATCATCATTTTTTCTTTAGGCAAAACTTTTAAAACTTCTAGCTTGATTTTTTTATCTCGATGGCTTTTAGGGAGAAGACTTCTACATCCGTCTCATCGACTTCATCGTAATGCTTCAGAACTTCTTTTCTTCTATTGTTAGAGAATTCGAAACCGGGAATAAACTCCACGTCTTCATGAAGATCAATATCCCTCTTGTTTCGAGTTCTATCTCTCTGATTATTCCTGAATGATCTTCTATTACTTTGGCTGTATTTGGTTTCTTCATATTCATCATCACTACTATCATCATCGTCGTCGTCGTCATCTTTAGGGAATACGATTATTTCGTGACTTGAGTCTGGAAGAAAACCGACTTTTCTGTTTGTATTTCTATCTCCTGCGACGATCTTCCTATCTTCAATTATTCTTGGAGAATCTCGTTGAGGAAATCGATTTGGGGGAAATGTTCTAGCAGTGACTGGATAGGGTCTTGCATGGATTCTAGTAGGATTATTTTGGTTTTTCAGAATTTTTGATTCGTCTTCATTTTTACGAGAAGATCCAATTGCTGATCTATCTTCCTTTCGGATATTATCTTCAAACTGTGTAACGCCATAACTTCTGTTAGTTGATAAAGGTCTCACAGTTGCTCTGTTATTCACATTCGAACCTCCGCTAGGGCGGTAATTGGTAGGATTAGTTCTCGAATTACGTGAAGTAGCATCCTTTCTCCCTTCTTCGCTTTGGATTGGCGGCTTGACGTTACTTCTTTCATTTGATCTATCAAGATCTTTTCTTCCATTTTCAAATCGCGAATCTTTCGTAAAATTCTGATTATCCACTAAAATTTTATCATCATTTCTGTCAGATTTGGGAATATAATCTTCTCTAATTTCTGGATTTATCCTTATATTACTTTCTGTAGGCCTACTTGTTGTCAGCCTGGTTCCTCGGATAGCTGTTGAATCTCTTCCACTTTTTGGAAGTTCATCTCCTCTCTTAGGCTGATAATTTCTGAAAGAATCTTCCCTTATATCGTGACCCTGTACACCACTACTCTGGTCTCTCGACGCAGTTCCTTTCAGACGTGATTGTGAAAAAGTTCCTCTACTCGCATGTATTGGATTATCATTTCTTCTAGTACCCGTACTAGGATATGCATCCTTTCTTATATTTCTACTATCACTTCTATCATTGGGTCTACGTTCTTCGGGAGGCTTTTGAATCATAGTAAGCACGGGACCTCCTCTTTCACTACTTGTTACTTCGATTCTCCTCGCGACATCAATTCTTGAATTTGGGTCTTTTCTTTCATTATCTCGTCTAATATCACTAATTTCTGGTGGCTCCCAACGAATTCTATCTCCTCCTTCTTTGTCGTCTTCATCTCGCCCGATATCTCCTTTCGCGTAATCGGGATTTTTGGGGCTAAACTGTTTACCTTCTTCGAAATCAGATTTATCACAATTGCACTGTTTATTGACTCCAGTCTCTAATGGTGGTTCAGTAGGATATGTTCCAGCCCAACGTCTCTGACTTGCAACAGATGATATCAACAGAATTAAAACCTAAAATTAAACAATGTAATGCTATTAAATAACTTTCGCTATACAATATTCGATAATTCGCTAAAATAAAAAAAATAAATCAATCTGTTAAAAGTACGATTATTATAGGTAGCAACATGTGGTTCAACCAGTTTTCAATTCTAAGAAAAAAAATCTATTTTAAGTCTAATAATTTCCATTTAGTCAATAAATCAGCTCGTTTTACATTATTATTCCATTCTCTAAATTAATATTTATATCAAATTTAAATATAAAACACTATTATAATATTTACTGTAATCTATACTCAAGTAAAAATACTGTATGTAGAATAATTTAGTAATAAAATTAATATTTATGTTAACGTATATAAAACTCAAAAATCACTTTCAAAATTCAGAAATCTTACAAATATTTAAATATATAGGCCTATATATTTTTTAAATCTACGAGTACTAAATAGCCTTTATAACTCAAGGTTATCTTCCTTAAATGTCGTTGTTAAAACTAATATAACGATAGTTCTATCAATGATGATAAAAGAATATATATATGAACTTACCACTGTTAATGCAAACATGATGAAGTTACATTTCTTTGTTAAATTTATCATGATACAAGTTAGAAATTTAATCTGACTGAATATAGTTTTGTTCTACTGAAAAATGGAGACAACATTCAGTCGTCCTTTGCTGCATTGTGTCAAGGACATTAACAAAGTATACAGCAAAAGGTGCACCTGACCTCTTCAGCTCACTGTACTTGCTTACTTGATTACTTGATTTCGATTTCAGGAAAAGTTCGTGATAAAAGATTTCTTAGTAGAATGACATACAACTATATTAATAAAAATTCAAAACAATGTGGATAACATAAATACACACAGTAAATTAACATCCAGATATTATTTAAAATACTGAAATTTTTATTCCTATTGTTAGCACATATCACTGATATTTTTCCTTTATATTTGTATTTAAAGTAACACTAATTAAAAAAAAAATTTAAGCAAAAACCTTGAATGATTCATATTTCTTATACGTTTTGTAATATTTTACATAATTATGTAGTTTTAAAATAGTATCTGAAAAATCCTATATATTAAAATTGTCAAAATGTTTAATATATATAAACTATAGAATAATTACTATAACATACAAAAGCTGTTTGGACTATACATTCTTATTTATTCAAAAGTTTTCATAAAGAAAGCCATTCTCATTAATAATATGTACACAATCAGTTTTCATAATTTTATGAATAGCTGACAAACTTGTATAAAAGGTATTTTTCTATGCTACTGAAAACATGATTTCTTATTATAAATCATAAGATTTTAAATAAGTATTTTAAAATCTTATGATTTATAATAGGAACAACTATTTAAAACATATGAGATACTAGTTGGAGATTTGATTTTATGTATTTTAAAAATTCTATTAACTCTGAAATATTGAAATAATCAAAATATGGTATGAATGTAAATAATAAAAATGTTAAATATTACTACACACAATGCATCATTGCAACATCAGAGCCAGAAACAAAAAGATAATTCATGTAAAGAATTAATTTAAGTAATAAATTATCCTTTGACAATTCCTAGAAGATAGAACCAGGAAGGTCTTTAATGATGTAACACGGATTATTAATTTAAAATTTCTGCAATATTAGAAACTTCAAGATAAATAATTTGCTTAAATTGATAAAATTCTGAAGTGAATATTTATCTTTATATATACTGTACTGTATATAATAATATAATAAAAAGAAAAATGTTGCTTTTATCATCATTTATTAAAATAAAAATAAAATCTTATGTATAAGTATATAAAAATGAATGGCTAATGCTTTAAAGATTATAAATACAAATATATATATATATATATTTTCTGTATTACACCTGATATTTTTAAACAGAGCTTTCAGACTGTTTAAAGACTGTTTAAGAGAAAACAATCTGTTTACTCTCTTTTATGATTTATAAATAATTCTTATAGGATCTGTATCAGGAAATAAATCTTGATCATTTAAATTTTTGATTATTTTTATGTTGATTTATTTATATTCTTAAAGTAAGTTTATTAAGTTTAAAATTTATGTTTTTATAAATGTTCTCAAAATGATCATTTGGATGGATACATGTTCTAGTCTAAAATTTCTGACTTGCAGCAGATATTGTAAACAGAGTCAAATTCAATAAGTCAATCTTATTTAATTCCTGTTTAAAATTTTCAATACAAGAGTTTGATAAAATACCATTGATTTTTGGCAATTCATTCTTCCATTGAATGTAATCCCTTCCCAAACCATTAAACAATTATCTCCATCTAGTCCTACTCTCTAATATTATGGGAGTAATAGGTTCCAATTTTCTTCCTACTATAGCAAATCAAATATTATTTTTAAAAGATAGAATTGTGTGTCATTGGAAATGTTTCACTGATTTTAAATTTCATTATTACATAGATAACTCCATGTTAAATAAGTTCTCTGAATTGATGATGCCCTGCAATGTGTGGATAGGTCACCATAGTAGGTTAGACATAGAAGTCTCTAATAAATTCATTAATAATTTTATGGATTAATAAACTATGTACGCTAAAGATGGCTTTTTAAAATTAATGAAAATGTTTTATTTGCCAAAATTTTTAGCCTTAATGTTAATATTAAGAATATGCAGTTATTAAAAGTGTATATTCTTAAATTCCAATATTTATCTATGACTAACAATTTGGCTACATAACTGTCATTAGCCAACATTAAGTCTTAAAAGAGACCATATCAAAGACTTTTCTGGAATTTATTGAAATTTTGTTAAATATTGTTTATTGATGTTAAATATTGATGTTAAATAACAATACAAAATAGAAATAGCCACTGTTATTCAGTGCAATAAATTTTATACAATGGCTCTGATTCTCACATCAAATTCCAAATTTTGTTCTCTTTCAATGCAAAATTCAAGTGTTTGATAGCAGCTCTTAAGTCTATAAAATATAACATGGTAACATAAAGAACATATTTACTTACAATCAACAACGTAACTGTGTCATGAATTATTATAAAGGTAGTGATGCCTACCAAGAAGCCACTCCTTTAATTCAATTTCTTACAATTACTGGTAATCGGAATCAATTTTGAATAATATGATGACAGTTCATCAAATAAACTTTTGAGACATTTAAAGAGTTTTTCACTATTTCTTTATTGAAATGTAACATAAACTGAATCAATGTTGTGCAATATGAAAACAAATCATTGTGCAAATACAAGTTGTCAATTGCTTATCAGCAGAATATTCATGTGCTATTTTCAATCATTTTATGAGTATTTTTATTGTTGCAAATTTTTCTGATATCTCTCTGGATATGGATCCTTCTTAGATGACTTCGCACTAATCTACCATATATTTCAACTTGATTTCTCCATAATCCAGAAATGATAGAAATAAACATTTATGATCTTGATTGACATTAACTTATTCCAATTCTGCCAACTGCTCTCAACAGCATTGAAAGATTGAGAAAATGTCTGAGATATTTTTAAGTTTTTAAAAATATGCCTAACTCTCAATTTACATGGAATCAACCTACAAGGTAGATTAATTCCATGTAAAATCAAAACTGTGTAAGTTGAGACTAATATTTATGTGAAAATGGAAGGACAGGTTCTATTTTTTTAATTAATTAATCATCAATATAAATGAATGAAAACAAAATTTTACTCTATCTTCTCTTAAAGAAACAATTTTCCTTTTCTTTTTCATTGAAAATATAAGATCATTTCCAATATTAAATTCTTCAATCCCAATTTTTTCTAATTAGTTTACTGAAGACAATGATCACATCCAAAATCTGTTATCAAAGACTGTTTTTTATTTGTTTAATTTTTATAAATTTACTGATACTGAACTTTAATATATATGGGGTAAAATTGTGACTAATTTCAAAATGGAGAATTCCATCTCTTTGAAAACATGCAAGTTGAAAGTAGCAGTGACAGAATTGTAATTTTATGATAGTAAGAATAGGCCTAAACATGAATTTATCAATGAATATATAGGTGTATTTCAGGTTACAACCATCTCATGATAAACTGCAAATATGACCACCATATATTTCTACCCCACCAATATGATCTTTTGTCTGTTACAGTCTGGCAACTGTCTGTTACACGTGTTGCCAACTGTCTGGTTTTTGCATCGTGTGTCCAGGCCAAAGACCAAAAATGACTGGGTTTAAGAAAACTTGGCAAATCATCAATGATCATTTTTAATGATATAGCTGTTCATCAGTTATAAAATCAGAAACAGTCTGATAAGTTAATTAACAAATCAGTTATAACAACATTCCAGAGTAGGGGGTCCAGATATTGAGCCTTGAGGACAGCCTTTATTTAGGGAGTAGAGGTTTTTTTTTACAAAGGGCAATTTAAGCTCAGCCTTTTAAGAAATCATTGAGCAGTTAGAAAAGATCAGAGATACCAAAGTACCACAAAATAAGTTTTAAAATCAAGGACTACCACACATTGTCAAATGCATCTTTGACATTTAATGATATTAATTAACAAAGACATCAATCTCTTCTTTCCTTGCTGTAGAGCAGTGTTTCTCAACGGGGGCGATATTGCCCCATGTGGGCGTTTTTCCATGTTGAGGGGGCAATTAGTAATAACTTTGTTAGTAATTTGGGGGGTGAAGAACAATTTTCTGGGTGATATAGTAAAACATTATATTAAGAATAATTAAATATTTTATTCGTTATAACATACAATAATTAAAGAAATAACATTATACTAGTCACTAGTCTATTCAATGCAGTATGAATTTGGAGTTAGCCTTGGCCCTCAACATTGGAATTTTGAAGTGAAGGGGGCAATACTACGTAACAGTTTTATTGAAGGTAATGATACTATGTTGAAGGGGCGACGATTCATTAGAGGTTGAGAAACACTGCTGTAGATTTAATTTTGGTGTAGTAGTAATCTTTTATATTAATATTCAAAATTTTAAATTAATATAAAAGATTTTGTCTGTAAAGAAAGTAAGTATCATATTAGAGTATCACATAATTTAACAAGGGCAGCCTCTGTGAAATGCTGGAGCATAAAACCATATTGTCATTGCTCAAGAACTTTTCATATAGGCATGCAGTGAAACTTTCTTTAAATTAAAAAAAAATGTATGGGAAATGACAATTGATGGAATGCATTATGTATATAACCTAGGGTATGTCTGTACTTAATTTTTAAAAAAATATGAAAAAAAATTTTTAAATACAGTACTGTGTTATACTGAAATTCTAATGGAAAAATGCCATAAAATTTTGTTTTACAACTATATTAAACTAAAGTTGTACATTTTGAATATCATGTAAATTGAGGTTTAGGTGTACTACAAAAGAGATGATTAATACACAAATTAAATTTATCCAAAATTATATATATAAATAATTTTATTTTTTACTACTATATTGTTGTTAGTGGAAATTTAACAATTACTTTTTTCTTCTTTTAGAGAATAATATCTCAATATAATTAAATGCATTTTACTATTACATTTTATCTATATTTTATTTTATTTTTTTTAATTGTGAAGGTAATATTAAATAAAGCTTGTTCCTTGTTAGAAGAAAATTCTAGTCTATAGTTTTTAAGTCTCCTCAAAAATCGGTAAAGACAAGGATATTTTCTCGTGGTTGCTTTTTTTGAGAAGTTTTTAACTTTTTTTTAAATATAACTTTTTAGCTTATTAAAAAAAACTTTAGTCTATTAACAATTGATAAACAATGCATAGAAATTAACAGCAACAATGTGCTTTAATATGCAAAAATGATAATTCAATCAGTTTC